AGCTCCAGTGTTCCTCTTCCACTTCCTTGCCTATATAATCTACATATCCTACATTACAACAAAACCTCTACAAGGAGAAAAAAGCAAATGTTTAAGAAATCGGCATTTTTAAATATTAAGCTAGTTTACTGAGTGACTGAGATGAAGCAACATTATCATTACCTAAGATGTTACACTACATCTAATCATGTGCTTCCAAGCAGTAGAAAACAAAAAAGCCAAAGCATTAAAATATGAAGCATCAAACGGGTGGGCGCATGTGTCTCCTGTGATAACAGGAGCTATATTAACGCATATAAATGGAAACTCAACTCCAAAAACAGAAAAAAAGCATTCTCCTATATAATAAAAGTAAACTGCCCATAACTAAAGATATCATGCATACATCTTATGGAAAAAATGTTCAAAAATCAGTTAAAAATCATACTGCAAAAAATTTAACAGATATAAGAAATAACTTTCATTACTTCTGGGAAAAATAGATGTATGAATATAATAGATATTAAAATGAATTGTCTGTTATTACTGACACAGTGTAAAAACTGTTCAAGCATGTGCTCACCTTTGAAACCGAGGCATATTTTTAAAAATTAAATTCTATTCTACACTAGAATACATGTTTACATCAATTTTCTAAAGTCATTTAATACAGATGAGCATAGAAATCCAGTCCCTTTTCACAAACACCAAGTCCCAACAATTAATTGATATGCTTCATCCTTTTTTTCTCTTCATTCCCTTCACCAAAACTTCAGTGAAGCCATCAGGATTCACAGGTTAATATGGTACTCTACAAACTTATCTTCTCACCTTTTACTTGCTCCCATAATACATGACTGTATTACCAACTTTTCCCATTCTTTCATAATAGCCTCTTTTAATGTTTATCTTTTTAATATGACATCTAAGTCTTTATATACATCCAAATATTTCTCCCCTGCTTTTTAAATACAAGTCCCCTATTTGGGTCATGTCAGTCTCACCAGCCTCTCATCCAATGAGTTAGCAATAGTGGTAACCTAGTACATGCCAGGCCTGGTGCTAAATGCGAGCAATGCAAGGATGAACTGTACATAGTCCCTGTCCTCACAAAATCCCCAAAGTGGGATTGCAGAACCCATAAAAACATGTATTTTCCAACGTAGCAAACATTGACAAAACCTCAAAACCAGAATGCAAATATCTTGTTATACACAGAACTTTTGTTGTTACAAAGTAAAACCATGGCAATCTAATCAGATGTGACAAGTTAACCAAAAAAAAATTTTTTTCAAAAACCTTAGGATATCAAATATAGTTCTACATTCACTCTTAACAATGAACTTCACACTAAACCCATACTGTGGTGAAATAGTAGCTAATGTGAGGGCTGAGGTTACTGTTATTAGCAACACACTGAAAAACCAACATCTTGAACACAAAGACTAGCACTAAAAACAGTAGCTGGGATAAAAACAGCTAAGGTCCCCAAACAATGTATTTCTCCCATTTGAATCTATTTGTTTTTGAAAGGTACCATTTTAGCTATCATACCTGAAAACAAAGTGTCAAAATATACTGAAAATGGAATAAAGCTTTTGAATCACTCTATCAATAGGAAAAAGCGAATATTATTTTAAAAAATGAAGCACAATCATATGGTTTTCTCAAAAATGTTTTAGTGAGAAAAAAAGTTAACTTTTAAAATGAGACCCATTGTTTTCCCTCTTGAGTAAAATACTTAAAAAATATTATTTCACCGTTAAAATATCCATTTTTAAATATTTTATAATGCATATAGCAAAATACAGTAGCATGATTTATAAACTTATACATATTAAGAGTGCATACAAATTTTTAACTGGTAGGTACAGTCAAAAGAATTTTCAAGACCACTGATCTAGAGAAGATAGGAAGATAGGTAAAAATCAGAATAAAATGTGAGGTTAATAAGTTGATATAAAAGAATATGGGTGGCAGGTATTAATTGAAAAGGGGAAAGGAAAGTCCCATAACGGCATTATTTGAACTAGACCTTTATTTAATACAGGCTGGTTTCCCAGTGCGGAAAGGGAGGAAAGGAAATTTCGGGTAAAGAGGGCAGCATGGACATTAATTACTCAGATATCAAACCATGTGGTATGGTCAAAGAACAGAGTTAATAGATCTAGACAGAAGCAGGTTCCCTATTAGATGCAGGACTTGAGCATCAAATGGCTGCTAATATTAAAAAGCAGATATTAGGTGCCTTCTGAAGGAAAAACATAACACTTAAAAAAGTAACCTTGCCCCTAAATTAAATCATAATTTTATCAAGGCTCTACATCTGTCAATTATAGAAAATATAGAAGGGGCAACCAGCACAATCCATACTGGGAAAATGCAGTATCAGTAAAACCATTTCTTCAACACACTGCAAGGGAAAAATGGGGTAAGGGGGATCAGTGCACAGGGGAACACACAGATGGAGACATTTCAATTAATCACAATATATGGATATTCAGATACTAATTAAAACCACAAAAATTATTAGAAATGTGAACTCACTGGAGGCTTGATATTAAGGAATTATTAATTTTGGTATAATAATGAATCTGTGGTTACTTCTACTAAATGTTCCTTATCTTTTATAGCTACATACTGACTTATTTACAGATGAACTAAGGGCAAGGTGGGATTATGTGGATAGGTGTTTAAGGGAAAGAATATTGACCATGATTTCATAATTGAAGCAGGTACATGGAGGCTCATTTTATTATTCTATCCTACTTTTGTGTAGTTTTCCATAATAAAATATTTTTAAAAAGGGAGGCCAAAGGCCTCTAGATCTAGTTACTTTTGGCTTTTAGATCAAACTGTCCTTTCAGGACTAGGTTTTTCCTGGGGTATTACTCCTAACAGAGACTGGACTTACTATGTCTATATAGAAATTTTACAGATGTAAGGAAATGAGGCCTTAAATTATTCTAAAGTTTTAAGGATTACTTATAAAGTTGTTCTACTAAACTCATTTTCACTGCTTCTTCACCCACAGCACCCAGCCAAAACAAATGTGAAATAGACATCCCAAAATGAATTATTTTATCCTTCTAAATCAAATGAACATGATAAAGTAACTATTGTAAAGGTTCAATAAGTGACCCCTAACGGTGTATACAACAAAAGTTTTTGTAACCAATGTTTGATTTCAAGCTATTGATGAAAGCATATCACTCCTCAACTCAAAGCAGATAACATACTTACAAGAAAAAAAGCACAACTTACTGGAATAGGAGAAAACAAATATATAAACAGAAAGCACTTTAAAAAACAAAGAAAAGTTGATAATACCCTGTACACTATTCCAAATATTTTTTCATGCATGAATTTTATATTGGTATTAATAACAAAGGAAACTAAACTTAATCTAGTCAAATTTTATGTTATTAAAAAAACCCAACTGATTCTTGCCCTAAAATAATTTTAAGTTTAGAAAAAAATATTACAATTTTAAATGTCAGGAAGTGGGGAGAACTTGATTACAAACTATTCGAACAACTAGTTTCTAATGAAAGCAGAATTGAAAAACACTAAATGTCAACTCAAAAAATATCCTATGAAATGTGTTAATTCCAAACTCAAAACCAATATATATAATGTTGCTTATAGCAAAGTCACAGCAAAAACATTTAAAATTTTTCTTAACCGCTATGGTTAGACAGATGATTTAATTCATGATTGTGAAGAATGTTAGTCATGGTATGTATATATTTGATAATAACTAAATGGTTAATTAAAATAAAATTTTATAATGGCTGACATGTTAACTAAGAAGTTTTCTCCAATTTTAACTGTATCCTTACCTGATATAATCTTGTTTGGGAAGAATAAAATCACTAATTAAGATAACTAGGTCACACACACACACACACACACCCTGTCTCTCTTTTTGTCACACACACACACACACACACACCCGTCTCTTTTTGTCACACACACACACACACACACACACACACACACACACACACACACACTGTCTCTCTTTTTGCCCCTCTCTCTCACTCCAGAAAATGTAAAGACAAAGGAGGTAATACAGAGACATAGCCTTGTTAAAGATATAAGCCTCTAAAGAATTTTTTGTATTACTTAAAGATTTGTTGCATGATTATTAGGGCTACCACCTGGTAACTTAGTAAAAAAATAAAAATAAATCACTGATACAAATTAAAATTAAATCCAAACTCAATATACCAAAAATTTGAGAAGGAAGCTCCTTATGGATGACACATTTCTAATTAACCAGGAAAAACAATTCAATTTGTAAATCATTCCTGTTAGAATTAAAAATTAAATATGGATACCATTTCTTCCTTTCTTATATTTTGTATTGACTACTTCCATACATTAACAACTTACTGCTTATAAAATTTGCTTTTAACAGTATTAATCAAAAGCAAAATCAACATTAAATCAGATGCTTTTGCTTACAAAATTGCTACATTTCTCTCAATTTTTGCACTTACACATTGTGCTTTATATAGCCCCTTATGCTAACCAGGTAGCCAGGGTTATCTTTGTAAACTTTCTTGTATTATGGGTATCAGAAGCAATACTTACTACTGAAAAACCTTAATGGTTTCTTTATGTTAGACTTATAAAACAGAGGCAATACTACTAAAAAACCTTAATGGTTTCTTTAATGCTAGACTTATCAAATAGAAACCTTTTAGGTACATGGTAAAATACTAAATCTTTCGACTATAAAGTACTTCTCAAATGTCAGATAGCCTATTATGTTTTAATGTTTTTTAATGAAAATGGCAGGAAAAGAGAGTTGTATTCATTTCTGTTGTATCACGGAAATATTTTAACCACTATGAACGGAAACCCTAGGGTGAACACAAAAATGAAAAGCTAGTTCAAAGAATATGAAAGACATACATATAAACATGGCTAAAATAAAGTAAAACTATCCTTTCATCTTTTCCAAGAAGAGTCAGGAATTTCATATTTACCTATCAATTAGCTGTGCACATCACTTACATTCAAAAATTAACAAAAATGTTTATTTATTCGTTTATAAACAAGTCTATGTACAGTAATACATAAAGTTCTAATAAACAGTGCTATGCCTCAGAAAGTCTTAACCACTAGTATCATTCTTAAAATTTTGAAATAATTTTGTTTGCCAAATGATTTAGATTAAAGATACAGAATATATCAAATATTCACTTGCAGTTTTCCATGTCACTCTCTCTCAACAAAAACAAAGAAAAAAAAATCCTAATTGAACAATGGCCACAATATGAAAGGAATTTGTTACCGTTGAATAGGTAATTATATTTTTGAAATAGTTATTGAAATACATGGCTAACTTCCTTCAGATTATATGAGATTACAGTATTCTCAGTGATTACTCTGCTCAGATTCAAATAGAATTTCAAATCATTATTCTAAATATGAAATTTTGATCAAAGCTACAAATTGACATCTTCCATAGTATGAAATCTTAGACCCATTCTTCTGGTGAACATAGCTTTGCTAATATAAAAAAAATAGTCACTTCAATCACTGGTTATCATCAAGAAAAGGTTTTCTTCCATTGACTTTGACTAAAGAGCCTTCATAATTATCAGTGATTAATTATATTTAAAACCAATATTTTAAACAAGCATCAATAAACTTTACTTAAATGTATCCTTAACTTACAGTATTATGCAAAATGGGAAGAGAAATAAAAAAGGTTTCTAATTTCCACAAAATACTGCTAATTAAGATAAAGGAAATTAACAAATATTTAGAATAAAGCCTTCCCTACTCACAAAATTACATAAACATGTTAGAACTTTGCCTTACAAATCTGTTTGTAGATTTGACGAGGATTAGGGGGGAGACAGTTCGGAGGGTGAAAAAAAAGTACCTACTTTGCCTTTTTATTAACAAAATAATTTATTATTTTCCTACTAATTTCCACTTCAATTCCCTGGCAAAACACCTAAGGCAATTCTACACAATACTTTTTTCAATGAATCATCAACAGAAAAAACATTCTTTGGGTTTCAAAACAGTTATTATTATTACAATTTTATAGGACTCCTCTATAGAAGCAATTTACCTCACAAAGAAGAACTATATTTGAAGTTAGAGAACATTTCTTTTTCATAGGATACAGGACTTCTGGAAAGAATATGCTTAATGTGTTACTTAAACAAAAACAAAATAAAAACCTCATGATGTTCCCAGTTTTAATTGGAAAAACAAAAATGTTTAATCACATACATTACATTAAGTCAGAAAAGGGGGGTGGTTTGCCAATATCCATTAGCAAGTGTCAGTGGTTGGGTTCTGTAATTCAGATTCTTCTCACTGAATCTCAAATTTCCAAGTTTATACTCTAATTTTTTTTCTGTGTATTTTACCTGTTTAAACAACATCAATTTAAACAGCTAAAACAAGATGGTCTAGAAAATTGTATGTCTAAATTTTTGGCCAAAACATCTTATTTCTAAAACTGGTATTCCTATACTAGTTTACCCATGTTTTTCTATATACTGAAATGCCCTCTCTGCACTATATTTAACTGTGTACCAACTTTTCATTATTATTCTCATAGTTAGGACATGAAGCATTAAAACAGAACTACTACTTAATGTACCAAAAATTCAAGTTCACATGACAATATAAGAATTGTTCTCCAGAGATGAAAAAAATTATAGTAATTATCATGTTTAAAAGGCATGTTTTTATTATACTTGTATGTATTTTGGACAAAAATATTCATCAGCTAATATGCTCTTCCACACATTGTATTCACTGAGTTTACTACCACAGTTTTAGTGCAACAAAATATCTTTGAAAGCCACTTTACAGTAATTATGGCAAGGCTCATTCAAATGCAGAGATAAAGATACCATTTGTATAGAAACTTAGAAAATAATGTTTGAAAAGGAAAGGTGTTTCATCAGGCTGAATGTTTTTTGTATACTAAAAATATATATAAACATTTTTTGAATTCATTTTACCATCAATTTTGATACAGTATTATTTAATGGTGGTAAATTTTGAGAGGTATATGTTTAACAAATACTGGAGATTATAGTCTTAGGTAAACATTTAACACACAATGCCAAGGTAGTTTCCTTTTTTTAAAATTTTTGTACCAAAAGTCATACATTTTATGTTGGCATTTCTTCTTACCTGTGTGCCTCAGACCAATAAAGTACTCTGCATTAAAATTTAAAATCTTGAGACAGTAGTACAGCATTGAAAAAAAAAATGTAAAGCAGCTCAGATACATTGAACCCAGATTTTACATTTTCATTAGTCAAATTAGAATATAAAAAGTAAGCTTGAAAATCAAGTTGAAAAAGCTTATTCTTCCTCAAGAAAAAGTATGAACAATCTGAAAATGATCAACTAGTATGAATGAAACATTGTACATAGATTAAGTCACATTTAGTGGTTGCTAAACATACCACTCCCTCCTGGAAATTACGGAACCATCTACATGTGAAACTAAGTCATCTTCATTTTCTTCATAACGTTCATCACTGACAAACTGCATTCCCATTTTTAGATCTTCATAATAATCCATTGGTCTTTCAAACCTACTGAGATTTTCTACATTGTTCCACTGTGTTTTTTCAGGCTCTTCTAAATAGTCTTTCCGTATTAGATTGCTCACTGGATTTTTGTTTTCTTTTTTTACACTGTCTGGGTAAGAATCAAGCTCATCTTGTTGAAGAACATCTATTTGTGATTCTTTTTGCATATCGGATGGTGGAATGTAGTTCTTGGCAAAGTAGTCTCCACGAAACGTCCGTCTTCTCCTATAGCAGAATATTCCAGCCAAAACACTTACAAGTACTATGAAGAGAGCCCCACCCACTACACTAGCAATGATCGTGCCAACTGTATCATCCTTAATTGTTGCCAAAGTTGACAATGGGAAGGGCAATTTTTTTGGTTCTGTTGCTAGATCCTCGATGTCAGCAGTTGAGGGATGCCACTGAATTGTAGGCTGAAGGGTGGTAGTAGTAGGAGGATCTAATGGAAACAGTAAAGATAGACAAGACACAGAAAGGCAAAGAATGTCAATGCAGGCTGATTCAGGAGCAAGTTGAAAAGAGCACAGTTAATGAATATATATTCATAGTAACAATAGTTTTTCATTCTTAATTTAGGATTAGAATGTAGTGGTACTTAAATATTTTCAAAGATAACCTCCAGTGTAAATCCTAAATTATTCTATTCCAAGTTTAAGTTGATATTGTACTCCAAGGAATACATACTTTTTAAAAATGAAGAGTGTTACTTAGGTGTCCTATATACAGCTGGCTTAAGAAGAATTATACCAAGAAATTAAATGAAATCAAATAATTCAAACATACATTTTCTTAGCCAGTAGCACAAGGAAATAAAATGAAAGAATGAAGAAATTAAAATGTTTTCTTAACATCCATCAATATCTAAAATAGTTTCATTTTTTAAGATCTGAACTTATCTTTAAAAGAATGAAAAACTATAGATTCTTGTTAAGTGGCCATAGTATAAGCTGTTGATTTAATAATTCTCTCAAAAATATTTTCCTTAGATAAAGAGCTCTTCTAAGGAAGGGCAAATGTAGTACATACCATTATTTAGTACTTTAAAAACAAAAAAGCATATGTTTAAACTGTGTTAGCCAAATGGGCTACATTAAATGAGACCAATAGACAAAGCAAAAACATATTATAAAGTATTATGAAATGTCATCACCATGTCTGTACTCCAAAGGTAAGATAACTGAACATTCAGGAAATTGAGGAATTTCAACAATATCTACAAAATTGAATGTCACATTGTTTTAAGATGGAGTCTCTTAAAAAAGAGTGGCTAATATTTTAGAGAGAACATTTCAATAATATTTAAATATTAGATGCAAATGATCCTGTGTATTGCCATTAGATTACAGAGTAAATAGCCATTAATATTAAAAAGCAACTAAACATAAATATTAAAAATTAAAGATTGTTAATTATCAATTAAGTGGTATTTGTAGGTCATGTTACACAAAATTCTAGAGTTTGAAGAAAGGATGAGTTAAAAAATCTTGAATTTCTTCATTGATAAAAATAAATGACCTAAATGGTAATCTCCTATATAATTAATTTTTAAATGAGTGGTACTGATAGAGCTTTTAGAAAAATGATTGTTAGAAAATTACTAATCTACATGAGGTAAGTTATTCTAAAATTACAAGCTAAAGAAAAATACTTACTGAAACAGGTTTCATCATGGAATGCCATATGTATAGAATGTGGTAAAAATTTAGCAAGTACAGTATAAAATTTAACATATACAGTATAATTAATTTCCTATGAGTTTAAATCAATCTAACAGGCAATCCTGTCAAGTACCTTGAAGTGAATACTAGTTTTCGTATTATATGTAAGTAAATAAAGGAAGAGTTTAATTTGTGAGAACATATTCATTAGCGGAACAAAATCTTAAAAAAATAAAACAATTATGGAATTTTTGGATCACTTCTAGTACCAATGTAGTAAAGCATTATATAATCCAACTTCACAGACCAGGTTATTAAAGAAACAGACTAAAGAGTAATCATTTGTAAAACAATTCATGTATTTTCTGAAGGGGGAGGACTAATGGAAAACTCTATTTTTTAGTAACAAATGTCACCTTTACAATGATTCCCAAAGAGGAAAGTATTATAATAAACTGGTATCAGCATGTTTAAACAAAGTACAAATTATCTACATAATTATTTATAAATCACACATCTTTGTGCACATAGATTTTAAGTTTTTGATAGCTCTTAATGCCGTTTTTCTCAGAACAGTGCATTCACCTGAGCTCTCACAAAATGATATACAACTTAACATTTTTACCAAGTATCCTAAAAAAAACAACCACTGCATTTTACATTTCCACTTATAATGTTCTTTTATGTGATCACAGATGTAGACTAACTCAGACATAACAAAATAACAAGCTTTCAGGAAAGCTAGCTTAAAAAATAATAAAAGAGTAACCAAAAGTAAACCCTATTTTAAAATGTTGTAATATTTCATTTTGTCAGTGGTTCTAGAAATTTTTTAACCCACCTTTCTCAACCAGTGTTAAAAACTGGATAATAATCTAAGTCCATGAAAGAGGGACTAACTCTTAACTAACTCTCAACTGTTGTTAATACTTTCTTATTTTGTATTTTAAACAATAGACATAGATATGACAACGCCTGTAAGCCATTTATTCATGTTTTCTAATTCTTGCCCTGCTGCAACACAATTATAATAACAGTCACAATTTGTGTAAGGCAGGACTACTTTGAAATCACTAATAGCTACTTATTTATCATGATTTCAAATCTTTCCCAACATCATTCCTTACTTGACGTTTCTTTTTACAATCTTTGCTGAATGTGTAATGAGTATATAACAAATATAATGGACTAGCAGACTCTGGGTTCTCCACATTCAAATAAAGAACTTCTCAAGTTTCTTTTCAAATCAGTTGAGTTCTGCCAAATAGGAACTACAAGATCTCTATAGCTTTAAGTATATTTTAGCCTAATAATTACTATATTAAAAAAGAAATGAATTAACTCATTTCTTTTTCTTTTAGATTTTATATGAATTGTTCAACTGAACAAAATCTATGAATTGTGAAGTTTAAAAATTGTTATGTGAAATGTGGATTCTGAAGTCTGATATATTATCCGGTTCCTAAAATCAATTATGATTTGAAATTCAATATTTGCACAGGAATATACTTTGAATTTTAGGCACAGGAGATCTCATGTGATGTACAGGAGTTTGCTTTTCTGTTCTCAAAGAGAATAAGTGATCATTTAAGGGAAAAACACAAACTAAAAGCAACTAGAAAAACAATTTCTAGCAGTCAGTTAGTACTGGACAAAGAACCACTGTACCCCTGTGAATAACTGAAGTTGAATAATGTAATCTTGAATCAATCCCCTCTTGCCCAAAATCTTATGCTTACTAATATGGGAAAATGAGTAATGAAATTACTGTTTCTCCCTCAAACAGGGAAAATGCTAACTCTGTTCTGTTCTGAGTAGAACACTTTTAGTCTCTAGTCATCACATACATGGCTTTCATAAATATTTTTAAAAAATCATTTCTGAAATTGTAAAATATCAATCTAAATACTGAGGCAGAACTTTTTTCTTAGAGGAAAAGGGTACATATAACTTATAATGAAAAAGATTAACTAATCATTTACTCTGTGTGAATTATGGCCTTGTATTCTGATAAAAGTCTACTAGGCTTCTAATCATTTTGGAAATGCAGCATTACATCTAGGGTATTTGGTACACTCCAAAGAGCTCTTACAGTTGTTAACTAAATTCAGCATACGTACTATATGAAAGACTGGACAGAAAGGCAAAGTCTACATCTTGATGATTACTTAAAACTATCTCATATAATGTTATCTTTTTCTGAATTACTAGTGGTAACTGTGAATCTTCATATTTATTTCACCTCTTATAAGACTTAATAGAGGCTAACCAAAAAAAAAGTATAGTTTATCACCAGTGCTACATTAGTTTCCTTGTTAAAGAAAATCAAATTACATAAAAGCAGATTCTGGATCTTTAGTTCTTTTCTGATTGTTTTCCTGTCAAATAATTTTTTTCATTCATGCACCAAAAGCTTATTACATGCCAAATATTACATGCCAAATATTATTGTAGATGGTGGGAATACAGTTGATTAAAGCAGACAAAAATCTTGCCATCTTGGGATTTATGTTCTACTGGGGGTAAAAACAGACAAGGATATAAACTATGTAGTATATTACATGACAATAAACACTGTAAAGTAAAGTAAGTCAGAGGAAGAGTTCCCCCAGTTGAGGAGTGAGAAGACAGAGGTTTAAATTTTAAACACAGTTATGAAAGTGGTATCTGAGCAAAGACCTAACATAAGTGAAGGAAAGAGCACTGAGGATATTTCAAGAACATGCCAAAGCAGCAGAGACAGCAAGTGTGAAGACTGAGGTAGGAATGTGTCTGTTGTGTTCAAAGAACAGCAAGGAGGTCAGTGTACTTGAAGCCAAGTGAGCAAGGGGTATAATAAGAGATGAGGCCAGAGAGAAAATCTAGGTCCAGAACATGTACAGTTTTGTAAGTCATTGTAAAGATTTGGTTTTCATTGTGGGTAAAATGGGAAGCCCATGGAAGGTCTGGAGAGGAGTGACATGATCTGCATGCCCTTTAAAAGGATCATTCTGGCTGCTCATGTGATTACAGATTGAAAATAGCAAGATTAAATGGCTGTTCTATTGATGGCTGGGACCAGAATACGAGCAGAAGTGAGGACTTGGTAAGATTCTGTATATAATGTAATGGTAGAGCTGACATCAATTTGTTGATTGATTGCATGGGATATGAGAGAATAACAGAATCAAGGATAAGTATTAAGGAGTATATCTTGAGCAAACATAAGGATGGAGTTACACCAATAACTGAAAGAAGGCTTTTGGAAGAAGAGGTTTGGTGGCAAGAGACAGTTTTGAACATTGTTGTCAATGATTATTATAGCTCTACATAGGATTAATGGTTATTAATAGGCAGTTAGACACACAAGTCAGGAGTACTGGGAAGTGGACCCAGAATGCCAAAATATGTAAGTCTAGGATATCCCACTGAAATTAGTATAAATAAGAATGTCCAAACTGAGCCCTGATATTTAAATGATTACATAATTATAACACATTGAACCTAGATTTACAAATAATACCCTATACCACATTTTGTAAAACAGAAAAAAAAAGTAAGCAGTTGTTAGGTAACAATATTATAAATATGCATTTCCTGTGGCTTTAAGATCCTTTTTTTTCTTTTAATAAAAAAAAAACCCTAAGGGAAGAAAGGGAGACTAAAATACTAATATTTAATCTCATTCAGATTTCCTCCAAAGCACAGCTGTTGTCAGAAAAGGATAGTTATGGATGTACATAGATCCAAGTTTCTTGTGAGATTCACACAAAAACATACTTGAGTCCCTATCACGTGTCAGGCACTAAGTGCTGAGTATTCAGTGGTAAATAAAACAAACACAAACTGCTTAAATATAAGGATAGATAATAAGTAAATAAATGAATGTACAACTATAAATTGTGGTAAGTGCCATGAGAAAATAATTTGGGGTACTGTTCTTTGAGTGATCACTTAAGGACTGAGAACCAAGGACTGAGAACCTAACACTAAAGCAAGCTTAAAGATTTCTGTAAAATCTGTTATGTATTTCATTTTAGATTCCAAAAGAGATAAAAATCTTAACTACCTATTACATAATTACCATACAAACCTGCTTTTCTAAAAGTTTGCTTCCTGCTTTTCTAAAAGTTAAGTTTCCATTTGTTAGACATAAAGATAGCTACATTCTGGTGGTTGGTAAGGAGATGCTCCAAATATTTTTTATAATTTTTCTAAGTAAGCATTCCACTTATAACTTATTATTTATAGCCACATCCAGAAAAGAATTTATTTTTAGTCCTAACTATATTGTGTCAATATGCAAATTTATACTCAGTCAAATTAACAAAAACATTCATAGTAAACAAGTGGGATGTGAAAAGTCTAAGTTCTTAATGGTTAAGGACTGACAATAAGAAACATCTTACATTTTTATTTCATTAGAACATTTTCAGTAGCGTTCCTACTTTAACTCTCAGTAATCCAATATGGTATAGTCCCATATTGAGTGACAATGTTATTTAATAAGTCAGGTCATTAAAGGTGATATCCCATTTTATCAGATACTTGTTACCAAAAGATAAACAAACAAAAAAAACAATGTTTGTTCTTGGTGTAAAGACTAAAGAACCTAGAAAGGCACACTCTACCTCTAAAAGGACCATGTATTACTTTTTAACTAAAAAATTAACTATATGCATAGGTCTTAAAATGTATCTAAAAACTTGTTGCAAGACATTTTGACCTTTAAGTAAAGGAATGCCATTTTACATTTATATTCCAGGTGGGGTTACTTTATTATATCTCTTTTAGATTAACTGGAAAACCTCACACTGAGGAATCTGTATCATCACAAGAATAGAACACAGTGTCATTGCTATGACTGTCATTATAGGAATAGTTTAAACAGCTCATTTTGCCAGTACACCCTAACTTACCTGAAATGTAGATGACCTTTTGATCACTTCTTTGACCAAGGGAGTTAGTCACTTTACAGACATAAACACCAGAATAATTGAAAGTCAGTGGATGGACAAAATGAAGAGTATTGTCTGAAGCCAATAAACCATCAGGCCACTGTCCATCCAACCTAGATTTTAAAAAACATTAAATCATTTTAATTATCTTCAGACTATATTCATTGACAGCTATTTAAATAAGAGATTATACTTTTGAGATATTAGTGAAAAAATCAGCATCCTTCAGTTAAAATTCACTATGAAATGAAGGCATATAATATCAACTTTCAGTTTAATAAATATGAACGAATAAACTCCATTAAAAAAATCCATTCTTTTAAAATATCAATTCATGTTAAGTGTAGTTAGGCCAAAATATAAGAATGGGAGGCAAAGTGGGGGGAACTATGTGATTTTAAAAAATTACATTCAGAAAACAGGAAAATTACCAAAATATATTATTTGAAGAAATATCCACAGTAGCAAAAGAATTAAATTCTCAGTGAATTACAGATCTACTGATGATATATTTATAATTTTCTTAATGAAAAGTCACTTAAATATATGACAATGTTTCCCTTCTATTAACATATTTAAAGTGCATCACTTAATACTGAGCAATCTATGCTGTGCCCTACAGTTTCTAAAGCACCAAGGAGGGTCTTATAAAATAATTTCATTTGTAAGGTGGGTATCTATGACAATAAATACCAAAGCACCATTTATTATCAGCAATGACTCTCCTTAAACAGTATCTATACTCATTTGGCTAAGAGGTCCCAACTAGTATATACATTACGATAAACCATAACAAGTAAAATCCCACCATAAGAACTCTAAAGCCATCCATTGCAATGGAATTAAGTATACCATTATTCCAACCTTAGGGTACCAAAAAAAACCTACCTTGTCTTTATGTTGAAACTATTTTTAAAGCCCCTATGTTATTTTTTAAGAGAATAAAAAGTCAAGTGAACCCAGGTACTCAACTAGTTTGAGCTAAGCAGATTTTCAAAAAAATTCACTCATTCGGCTGTCCATTATTTAATTACGAGGAGCTTATTATTTACCTTACTCTGCTAGTTTTGCTGAAATGCACAGGTAAATAAGATTTGGATCTTACTTTCAATTAAGTACATAGTAGGAAAATAACAACTCATTATAAAGGCAATAAGAACAAACAATCATAAAAAGGTAGAAAGAAGCATATCAACACTGGAGAATAGGTGGAATGATTTCATTCTGTAATCCCAAGGGTAGTAGGATTAAGAACAATCAGTAAAATCATTTACAGTTGAAAGTACTTTAATTTAGCATTGAAGGATAAAGGTAATATTCTTACATGGTTTAAAAAACAGCCAATCCTTCTCAAAAGGACTTTGGAATGAACATTTTTACAAGCATCAGTTTTCAAAAAGTAAACTTTTTTAGGAGGGTAAGAATGAATATAAAGTAAATGTATTTTACCAATTATCTATCTCTGTACTTTACACCCAAAATTCTAATCCCTTTAATTCTGAGAAATATAAATATGGTATATAATCCTTTAAAGTTGTTTATTCAAATAAACGCATCAGATATACCTAAATACCACATTAAATTCACAATGAATGACACACTAATAAGAACCTTCTAGCTCTTGTACCTATGTTACATGATTAACATTTGTTGTCTCCACCCTCACAACAACTCTTAGGAAGGAACTATTATCAATGAGACATAGCATTAGAAAGATTAAATGACTACTCAGAAAAGACATCTCCAAGTACAGTCACTAGGATCTCACAATTATATGACTTTCAGAAATACCCTATCACATATCTTAACCAATGACTGCTTCCCACTTTAAAGAAAATATAAGTGACAACGGCCTTCTCTACTTTTAAAACTGCATCTCTGCTTAAACAAGATTGGCCAAATAGCACCATTTCCTCACTCCCATGAAATTCCACCTAAAACTAGAATAAAGGAATTAAAAAGCTAGTAAAAATCCATGAGAAGAAAGAAAACAGAAGGCAGAATTTATCAAACAAGAAGTTTCAACAAACTTTTAGAAGACAGAAAACAGACATAGAAAACCACATATGCAGTGTTTCTCACTCAGGAATGATTTTGTCTCCAGTAGACACCTGACATGTCTGGAGACATTTCTGGTTGTCACAGTGGTGGGGGATTCTACTGGCTCTGGAGAAGAGAGGTCAGGAATCCTGCCGAACATCCTATAAACTCACAGGACTGCCTAGACAAGTCCAGCCCAAAATGTCAATAGTACTAAGGCTGAAAACCCTCTGCTTTGCTTTGGTCTGAGGAAGTGCTTGCAGAAGGCATATGGATAAGAAAACTGTCAGTTTGGGCCAAAAGATCCAAGGAAGATTTGGAGTTTGACTCTGTACTGCAGAGGGGGCCCTCGTGAGGCAAAAGGCTAGAAACAAGATTAGTTGAAAGTTGAAAAAAACAAAACAATAAGCTCCTCTTAACTCTGTACAGACACCAGACATTTATGCTTTAGGGGAAAAAATTTAAGGTTAAAATTCCTTTCCCATAAGTGACACCTGAAGTTTCCCCAGGGAAATAACCAGCTCTCTAACTGATCACTCTAAGTGGAAACTACTACTGAGTAATCACAACTATAAATTGAGTTTCTACTTAATATTTTATTATGGTGCATCACTGTGAAATGACTGAACAGAGAAAATTAAGGAGTATTTTCAAAATGAAAGACCAAACTTCGAAGAAAAAAAAAGGTAATATGTAGGAAACAGGAAAAAACTCTCTGCAGAGGAAATAACTCCAGTATTCCTAGAAGAAGCAAGAAGACACTACATTCATAAAATAAGAATGCTATGAAAATGAACAGTTACAAAGTTATCTCACTAACTGAAAATATTTCCCCCCATTTTTTTAAATCAATAAATCAACGGGGGGGAATCAAGGAAATCTAGGAAAAACAGAAGCTATTTGAATAATAAAAAGAGTATTGAGCAAACAGAAAAAAAGTTAATATGAGCAAACAGAAAAAAAAGGAGGGGAAATAACCATAAACAAAAGAAAGTTATCCACAATCAACAGATAGAAGTCTCTAGATTTGAAGGGAGGCCCCAAATACTGAGAAATAGAAAACTGCAGTGTAACAGTTTAAACTTTGATAGATAAGGAGAATTAAGGATATTTAGAGAGTACACTATACAAGTTAAAAGAAACAACTAGGAGCCTCAGGGAAACCAAACAGCTTTAGACAAAAGAAAACAATTTCAGTATACTGCTTTGCTCTTAGTAAGTAGTTTTTATGTAACTGTCATAGGGAGGTAAACAATAATTACACAATTTAAATAAACATAGCTTAATTTCACTGAGACTATGAAGAGTAGGAATATGTAAATGGGTATTGTTTGTGTGTGAAGGGGTAAATAAAAATTAGATTTTTCATCTATCATAAGTCAATAGATAGTATTAAAAATTAGTAAATCGAGAAGTAGCAGTTTAAGACCTATGCCAAGGAATTACTATAATCAGCAATTACTATAATCATGTATTACAATAATTAAAAACAACTTCAACAGTACTTTTCACTTTTAAATTTCTCTTTAGAAGTATTTGACATTATTACCTGTTCCACACAGATTTGAACGGTGGCGGATTTGCATCAGCATTACACTTGAGATTAACACCTTTTCTTCCCACAAACCAATTTCCATCATAGCCTGTTACTGAAACCTCAGGAGCATCTATAAAATAAATGCATGACAGGACAATTACCTTGTAATGATATGTAATGACAAAGCATTAACATACTAGACTAAATTTTAGAAAAACAGAAATTATTTTTTTCTTTTCTCAATATAACCAATCAATGTGGAAGACTACTCACATATCAGCTGATTAAAAAAGTGAATGAATGGACAATGAGTACCCAAACAATAGGCAATTATAGGCATGTGCCATTCTACTTATTACAGACACTGAATGTAAGAATATTCACAAACTTATAATCACCAAAAGCAAAATACGAGAGTTCTCTTATGAGGTATGTAGATATATATGAACAAAGGAAATACATTATAGAACTTAATTCAATTAGACATGGCATTTAAGTACCAAGTCATCATATAAAACTGTCTGTAAAGAAATGTTTAATCTGAAACGCAATATTCTCTAAGAGATATCAAGGCAATTATAGAGATTAGATACGCGATATCACAATTAATTAATATTCTATGTGCATGTAGAGATGTGGTAAAAACTTTCTAAGACTACAATTTTAACTGAATTAAATTAAGGCCTCAACTATTCTGAAATACAAACTTTTAATAATTCACGCATTCAAAGGTTTTTAGCACATGTCAATCAAATTGGTAAAATTATCCATATCTACCAGCAATACAAATTTAAGCCTTCAAACTATAAAATCCAATACTAATCATTCATTCAACCACTATAGTCCTTTTACTCCTAATAAGTGACAGGCACTGTACCAGGTAGACTCAAAATTTTATGAATAAAATTACATTCATAAAATTCACATTCTAATAGTTAATAGGAAAGACAACATTTTAAGAATATTTAACTAAGAACTGTTAATAAGGCCAAGAAGAAAAAGAATAGAATGCTAAGAAAGAAAATAAGAGGAAAGGCATAAATTAGAGGATGGAGTTGAGTAAGGTCATGAAATGCTTCCCTAAGAAAGTGTTACTTACGTATGAACTCTTCATCTTTCTGTGACCTACAGAGTAAACTAGATAAATAGCACAAGGCCAGCTGCAAAGTTACAGAGAAACCAGGTCAGTCTTTAACTCTGCCAGGGAAGGAAGCCTGACCTGTTGTTAAGCAAGTTTTACAAAAATTGGTAAAAAATTAAACTTCTACTAAGGCACAATTACCTTAGTAATATTAAAATAGAAATATCTGCCTCTTACAAATACCAAGAACAAACAAGCATTTTTGTAACTTAAAATTGATACTAAAAACTATTGCTAAAAGAAAAATACAAATATCTGTGAGTTTAATTTATTTTCAAAGGAAAAGGGGATAGGTATGAAGCTATTCCCAAAGAATACCTACAAATTTTAAGATGCTAACTGGATGTTAAGATTTTATCTCCTTAAACACTGTTCACATATTTTATAGGTTCCTATTAAAAAAAAGAAGAAAGTCATGAATTCCCTAAAAACATTTTAGGAGCAAGCCAATAAACTTAAGACATAATTATAAACCCTTACATTAGAAGGAATTTTTTATATATTTAGGATTTCATTCAAGCAAACAAAAAAATAATAATATACATAATACAAATTGAAGAAAATCATTAGACACAAGGAAGGGAAAAATATTATCTATAATTAAGACCTTGAATCTTACAAGAAGAAAAGAAAGCGTCTGTGAAAGCAAGGTAGATAAAAAGAAAAATTTAAATTTGATTCTTCAGAGATATGATAAAAGGTATTTGCACTCAAGAATACAATTGTAAAAACATTCATATAAGATAGCTTCTCAAATTTAATTCTGTAACTGTTGTAAAAGATCCTTAGAATTAGCTTTAAAACCATTCTACAAGTGTAATGAGTATCTGTAATTTAAAATTCCATGCATGTCGTATCAAAAAACAGTAACAATGAAAAATAGAACATCCTCAAAAATCTATCTGGATTTTATGATCTCTGCATGGATGGAAATGACAGCAAAACCTAAATACTTCTAATTTTATCTCTAACCTGCTTAATTTTTATTATCCCAGCTATAGCTATCTGCACTATCATTTTTTTCGTTTGCTCAAAATTTTTAAAATATCACACAAAGAATTTAGTAAAAACTTAGAAACTTTATAGAAAAAGTATATACATACACACAAGCAAAACATACACAAATGAAAGTACCCCTTAACAAAAAAAATGAAAATAAAAGATGGGCCAGCTTCAAACCTTATCTATAATGGTTCAGTAATAATGGTTATTATGATATTATATGGGTATTTTTAATATAATGTTTACTATCCCAATGATGTCTTTAAAATATTGTTTTACCTGTATGAGAATCTTGTAAAATGATCAATAAAATCACATTAGAAATAAAATTTTAAAAATACAGATTTTTCAAACTAATTAAAATGCATCTAGCAAGTAAAAGAATCTTGCTGAAAATACCATGGGTAGCATCAGTAAACTAAATATTTAAATTAATTGGACTGGGGAAGTAGTTGTTTATCTCTAAGTGCTGGACATTTTGAGGCATAAATTGCCGTAATTCATTTGCTGTTTCCTTTAAATCCCTGACCTCTACCCACATCTTCTCCTATCCCCCAGAAAGTTCCTTTTTCCCCTCTGTGTTTTATGGTATTATGAGTCCTTCACCCCAACTACTTCACCTCTGGTCCAGCCCCAGATATCCAGGAAACCAGTCAGCAGGAAAGCACATAGCAAAATCTGACTATCTACTTGTTGGGTTTCTGAAGACATTTCACATATTAAAAATATCTATTCTTTGAAAAAAAAATTGCCGTAATTCACTTAAGTTCAGTCTATGTTTAAGGTCTAAAAGGATAAGGTTAAATTATTTTAAGTTGGAGAGCAATTTTAAAGTCATTGTCAACCTTTACAAACTGATTAAAAAAAGAAATGTTCTGGTTAAATGAAATTTTCATGCAAATACAAAGAAAATTAAGAAAAAAATACCAATGAAGAAAAGCAGAGTATCTGAATACTAAATATTCAAACTAAAAAGTTTGATTCAAAATTACATCTAAGGAAGAAAATTAAAATAAAATACACAGTATGTTTAAAAAACAAATGTTAGTGTTTACTTACACTGTATATCTAATATGAAAGAATATCTGATGTCCTTTTCCAAGGCTGGATGTTTTACAACACAAGTAATTCGCCTTCCTCTAGCAAACCTGGTTGGAAACAGCTTATATTGACTGACAATTGTTGCTGTTTCATTTGGAAAAGAAGTTGTAGTAGATTCCATTTCACCAAGATCACCTTCCCAGTCAATATGTGCAACTGGTTTTCCAGTAGCTGCAATACAAATGGCTGCTACTGTTTCATTTCCTCCATCAATTAAAGAATCTGGCCCTTTTACCAGGCTCACAGTGGGTTCAACTGTTTAAATTTAAAAAAAAAATTAGTTACAATTCAATTAAGAGTATATATATATATATACACATCCTTCCAAGCCATATCTCATAAACTTAAAGACATCTACATATAAAGTCTATACACACACTTTTTAGGTAATGACAACATCAACTGGATTCTTGGACAAAAGATCATTAAGCCAGGTCAAATAAAACTTTAAATTAAAAATTAAAAGATGGCCCTCCCTGGTAAACATATACTTTTCTTTATAGGGATAGATAAGTTCTCCCACAAATTAGTATATACAAAATATTTCTGTGAATCAGATCATAATTTCCATTATGAGACTAAAAGTCTTATTACTCTGAAAAGACAAAAAGTAGTTTTAATACATGAAACTTCATTTTGCAGCAAAAATACATTTTAAAATAAGTTAGCAGTATTCAGTGAAAATACACCATTAAAATGTAACATCATTAGTAGCTATGTTTATAGGAATGTATGCGCCACCTATCTTTTCTGGTATAAGAAAGCTCCTTAGCAAGGGACAATAACCTTAATATTAGGCCCTTTTAATCTACCCCCATATACTTTAACTATCCCATAATGTTTTCCAGCAAACTGTATGTGCTTCTTTCTGTATTAATTCCTCAGTACTCACTTCATGCATTCTTTGTCTCAAGCCTATAGTTTATTCTGTGTATTAAGTTTTATCTCAAAGACTTTTATTCATTCCAAGATTTCCAACTGGTTCTTTCAATGCCATCTGGTCTTGATTTCTATTTACCTATTTTTGTTTCTTAATTACTTGAAGGGATATTAATATTTTCCCTACATATTTCCTTTTATACAGGAAACATAATTTATAGTAAACATCAATGTAACTAACATACATCTTAAAGAACACCAGCACCTCCCAGGTCCCTCATATGCCTTTTTCTTGATCATTTTAACACCCTGCCTGCCCAAGTGTGAAACGATTAAGGTAACTTTAGAAACAAATTTTTCCTTGCTTTTCAAGATTTTTCTAAAATCTACAAATGCAAACCTAAACAAGTTTCATTTCACCTATTTCTGAACTTTACATGAATGGAATTAGACTAAATATATTTTTGCTGTTTTTCTCTGGCTCAACTTTGTGTTCTTGAGATTAATTTATGTAGGAGCATTTAGCCTTAGTTTATTATTTTGGAATTCATTTGTTTAACCTCCTATTTTTAGATCATTTAGGTTTGCATGCAGTAGTATAAATTTTTTATTTTAATTGCTGCATGGTTTATTTACTGTTGGAAATTTGTATTGTTCCCTCCTTGGTATAAACAATTTTATAAGAAACATTCTCATTCATGTATTCTCAGTATATTTATGAAAAAGTTTCTCTAGATTATCCCTTATACTGGAATCACTACCATTATGCTTATTTTCAACTCTACCAGATAATGCTAAAAAAAAAAACTCCAAAGGACCAATTTACTCCCAATCTTTGAACGCCTGTTGGTGCATATACTCATCACAGTTCATTGTGTCCAACTTTAAGAATGTCTGCTAATTTCACAGGTATGTATCATTGGGACTGTATTTTTAATTTCTCACATTATAAATGAGGTCAATGAGCTTTTCATGTTTATGAGCCATATGGAATTTCTTCTGTAAAATGCCTATGTAAGCCAATTGTTTTTTCTTATTAATTTGGGAGGAGAGCCCTTTTTTTATTATATGCGGCGCAAATATCTTCTACAAATTCAGAGATTGTCTTTTTACCCTGTGGTGTGTTTTGATGAGAAATTTTCAATTCATATTTACAAAAACATATCAGTTCTTTCTCTTTTGTAGTTAACTGCTTTTATATACTAAGAAATACTTCTCTACTTCAAGGCCAACTACAGTGTGATTATTTATACATATGTATATATATATATGTAGTTCATTGTTCTCTGTAGAATTTTATAGACTTACTTATTTCTTAAAATGGTAAGCATTGTTGTTTTAATACTCTTGAGAATTCCAACGTCTTATGCATTAGAAGGTCTGTTTCTGTTGTTTGTGCTGGCTGCTTCTTGTGGGGTCTTCTTTAATTGTATGCCTGGTTATTCAAGCAAACTATTGGTCTGTGTTTGAATAATTAAGGTAGAAAAACTTGAAGAATAGGAAAAAGGTACCTATCATCCAGAAAAGATCTGTGTTCACTTCTTCTAAGCTCCTGAAAACACTAATTAGTCCAGGACATCCTTAATTTAAATTCAGACTAATCAAGTGATATAAACCAGACCTAAAAGTCTGTAAGAAGGTTGGTTTACTTCTAGTTCACTACTATTCTGAAAATTAAGCCTTTGGGTACAAGGTGAATATGAGAAGGGTTATTAGATATCTCACAGTGAGCGGAATTGCATTTATTGTCTCTCTCACGTCTCAAGGATCTCAAATCTTAGCACAGCACCTCAGATGTTTCTTCTGAATTGCCAAAGTCCTCAGGTTGAACACAGCTTTCAGCTTTCAGTGCTAAGCTTATTTTGTAGTCAATTTTTAGTTGTTATTTCTTTTTTCTTCTAACGAAAATCAATCTCCTGGTTGTAGATTTTATTGGCTTTCTGAAGTTATTTTTTTCATATACCTCAACTTTTTAGTTTACTTCCCTGGATGCTTTTTTCCCCCAGTTGAGCAGTTTTGTGTTGTTTCCTCCTAAGATGCTCCCTAATGCCCAGTGTACTCCAAATGGGGGTAATACAAAGTTTTCCCAGCCCCGTGTGAACACTAGGATTGTCAGGCCTACTGCTTTCTGTTGGTTTTTTCAACCACCTCAAAAGTTTCCTCTCACATATACACAGATCAGTACTAAACCGAACACTGCAGGGGGCCCTCCTTTAGATCTCTAAAGCACATGCTTGCCCATGCTCACTCTCAATCTGTCTCTGATAATCCTGTCTTACCAGTGTTCTGTTTCACATATTCTCATCACCTGTCCTCCCTGAATTCCTTTCTGTCTCTTCCACTCAGTGAGTCCACCATTATCTGCTTCAATTCCTTGTCACTGAACTCCAGCCTGGAAACTGCCTAAGGAGGAAGCTATAACATTTTTCCTTCTTTCAGGGGGTGCAGTTCTACACTGTATATTGTCCAATGACTAAAATCTGTTCGTCATTTGCCTCGTGTTTTTGTTCTGAGGAAGAGTAAATCCAGTCCTTGTTACCCATGGTGTCCAGCAGTGGAAGTCTACTTTTTTAATTACCAAAGTAATATTACTAAAAATTTGGGAAAACAGGAAAAAAATTATCCATAACCACAATGTCCTAATATTCATTATCATATTCTTGAATTTCCTTCTATTTCTGGTTTCTATATAGATGTAATCATCATATGCCTACAATTTTGTGGCTCACTTTTTTCAAGCAGAATACTTCTCTTAACCATAATTTTAGCAATTATATAATATCTTATCAAGAGAAAGTAACCAATTGTGTAACAACTCTTCTACTATGGAGCGTTTGTTCAATTTTCTGAGAGCTTTTTGTTGTATCACATTTTGTTTCTATTATTTGGTTTGGTTTCTATTTCTACCACTCCACTGAAACTCCAATGCTACTACCTACTCTACAGGCTTGATACTTTTGTCTATTCTCATTGACTAACTTCATAGAATTTGTTGTTTCAGCACAGTTCTTCACTGTTTTACAAAAGAATTAAGTGCTAATGCCTTGTTGTAAGTAATGAATTAACTTCTGGGCTATGGATCTAGGATCATAGTGGACCATCCTTAGAGGAACTGAAAAAATTGTCACTCAAATCATTTATTAATTTTCACTGTGAAGAAAAGCTGCTAAAGTAACCTTAAAAATTTTTCTTCTTTTGATTTGAATACTACTACTTCTCCTGAGTTTTTCTCAAAGCTCTCTTAGAGCTCTTCATCTCAATTTCTCCCAATCTCTGACCTAATAAATACTCAGTCCTAGGCCTTCAGTTAGCTTTTGTGTCTCCATTAAAAACTTTTATCTGATAAACACTACTATCCAGATGATCCTTAATTTTCTCCAATTTTGATACAAGGCTTGATTCCACAGGTTTTAACAACCTGCCTGGTAGTTTTGCCTATATATCCTCCAACTCAATAAACCAAATATGAACTCATCTCATCATATCATCCACCCAACACCCAAAATCTGTTTTTCATTCAGACATGCTCATTTAAGTTCATGGTAAATATAACTTACTCAACCACTAAGGTTCAAACCTGTTATCATTCAAAACTCCTTTGAATCTTCTATCCAGTCAGTTACAAAGTACTGCTAGTTATTCCTTTGTAGTAGTTCCCTTTTTCACTCAAGTGGCAGAAATTAGAAAATTAATTTCAAGCCTTCATGGCCTCATGGCTGAGGCACTATGATTTCAGGAGCTCTTCATTTCAATCCATCAAAAACATCAGACTTATCTTTCTAAATTGCAATATTCATCACACTATTCCTAAAGTCAGGTCTATGAGTCAGGCATCCCTCTAAGCAAGACAAGAAGGTGGTCAAAGCAGTGTTTCTCAAACTTTACTGTGCACCAAATCACTTAGGATCCTGCTAAAATAGATTTATCGTTCAGTAAGACTGGGAAGGGTCTGAAGTTCTGTATTTCTAGCAAACTCCCAAGTGATGCCAATGTTGCTGTTTAAACTTATCACACTTTAAGTACCAAGAGTATAAAAGTAGAAGGGAGGTGAGAAGAAGTATAATATTGTCTTACTAAGTTTACATTTCTAGAAATATAAAGTTCAAATTCCCCATTCTAAAATTCAAGTTACTTTAATGTGATCCTACTCTACCTTTCTGGCTATTAGTTCTTGTACTCTATATAAATCCTTTGAATGGTCAATAACTTATAGAGTGGGTACACTAATTAGGATTCTAAAAAGTGAGTGATCTCTTTCCTTCTCCCCAGAAGACATTTGGCAATGTCAGGAATCATTCTCAGTTGTCACAACTGATGGACTGCTACTAGCATTTGTAGGTAGAGGGCAGCTCACCACAACAAAGAACTCCAGTCTA